CAGATGATTTCTTTAAAAGCAGAATTATGGATTATCCCCTGGGTGTGATATACAAAGAATGATAGGATAGAATTCAAAGTAAGAAGTTAGAATATCTTGAATTTTTAAGATTTAGTTCAAAGACATGAAAGGCAAGAATCCAAAAATTGAAAGCCTAATACTGTCAAGAGAGTGAAACAAATAAAGTGTTAAATATTCAAAGAACATAGAGAAACAAGCTTCGGCTGGAAGCTAGGTCAGGTAAGACGTAAAACTGTCCTTGAACTACCTGAGTTAGATCGATTCTCCACACAGCGTGTTCTTACACCTCAGGACAGACATTGAGCTCTGCTTCCTCTGGGCATGTGCTGGATTAGGGTCATAGGGTGGTGAGCAGGCTCACTCACTGACCTCAGCATTTGAGTTTAGGTGGAACTTCTATTTGTTTTCATCTAAAAAGGAGAAGTTTAAATAAGTGCCTAGTTAAGACAGTATAGGCGGTGTGAAGGCGAGCCCATGCGTTTAATTTATGACATTCAAGACTTCTCCGAATTGTGTGTTTTTCCTGTGTCCTTAGATGACAGTAGGATGCTGACCTATTGAACTGCAGGAGTGCTGTAAAGAGTAACAAAGATGAACTGTGACTCATGTCTCCTTTATTCCTGTTATTTTTTCCAGTGATGGGCAGATACATGGGAAGATAAAACTGTGACCTCTTGGCCGTCTAGTAACAGCAAAGTCTGACAGACAGTGGCCACTTGTTTAATGCCTTGTTACATCAACTTCTCCATTAGCGGGAGACTTGCGGTAGATCAGAAAAGTTAGGATATGGACTACATGCTATTAAATCAGCAGCGGGTCGCTTGGGTCAGCCAAGATCACTTCTCCTGAGGCCTGTCCTTTTTCCTAGGCATACTGCACTCACTGATTCCAAGAGTTGCCTTTTCTTTGGCTTGGAATTTGTTACCATAAAAATGATCTGTAGTTGTAACCAGTAAAAGGAGCTGGTCTCTTAATTAGACAATAATAACCCTTAATACTTTGGCCTTTTAAATGTTGCAGAAGCTCACATAACAAATTTAGTAAAGTTTCTGTCATTTTACTTGAGTGTATAGATTTAGAAGTTGATCTCACTGGGCAGTGGTGGCACATGCCTTTAATCCCAGCACTCGCAAGGCAGAGGCAGGCAGATCTCTTGAGTTCGAGGCCAGTCTGGTCTACAGAGCAAGTTCCAGGACAGCCAAGGCTACACAGAGAAACCCTGTCTCCTAAAATCAAAAAAAAAAAAAAAAAAAAAAGTAATCTATGTGTCAGCTTTTAAGTCTATAATGGAATATGTTTTAGACACTCTATCATTCATTTGGAAGATAGTAAAGCAAAGACTCATTTAGGACTGGAGAGATGGTTCAGTGGTTTAAAAAAAAAAAAATGGTGTTCTTATAGAGGACCCAGGTTCAGTTCCTTCACCTACACGGTAGCTCACAACCATTTATTTGTATGTGCTCCAGTTCCAGGAGATACAACCCTCTCTTCCAGCCATCATGTAGTGCATGTACATGCATGCAGGCGAAACACCCACACATATAAAATAAATCTTTTTCTTAAAAAAAAAAAAAAAAGAAAGAAAAAAAGAAAAATCCCATGTTTAGGTATCTATTTCTCTCAAAAATCTCTATCCAAACAGAAATCTAAGCTAACCTTGTTTTTTAAGCTCTTAGGGTCAAAACACTTTCTAATAGGCATGCTCCAATTTGTCCATTGGATTGTTTTGTGGGGCGGCATAATACTTAGTTTTATCCAAGAGACAGATGAGCATTGCTAGCTTTCATGTTCCCAAACTATTATTTTCAACATCCCCAAATTGATTATGCTGAGAACCATGTAGAGAATTGTAGTCGAACCCTTTCGTTGGGACCATCAGCTCCCTAATAATGACACAGACTTCTGTTAACTATAGAGGCTCAGCCAATAGCTTAGGCTTGTTTCTAGCTAGCTCTTTTAACTTAAATGAACCCATTTCTATTCATCTCTGTGCTGCCATGTGGCTCATGGCTTATACCTCTCCTCCTACATGTCTTGCTTCTTCTGCTTCTGGCTGTCAACTCTACCCTTCTTCCCAGTGTCCTCTCTGCCCTGAAAAATCCTGCCTAGCTATTGGCCATTCAGCTTTTTATTAAACCAGTCCGAGTGACACATCTTCACAGTGTACAAAAAGATGATTCCACAACAGAGAATTACATGAGGGAATTCTGGGAAGTGGTGTGGTTGGTAATGTGTGACAGTTAGCCACTCCACAGTCCTGTGCACAAGGCCCCATCACTGCAGAGCCAAAGTCTCCATTTCCCTGTGTATGCTGACTGGGATCCTTTGGCTTGGGAGTTTAGTTGTTTGTTGGAAATTGAGCTTTTGAATTTTGTCAGCTTCTTTTGTCCTCATGTGAAAAAAAAAAAATATCTAAATGATGTTGCTCACCGAGAGGCAGCATGGCTGACTTTTGGGAAATTGGTAAGCAGGCGAGCTATTTTTAGCTTTTACTCCTTCCTTGCAAACATTTCCTTTTGTTCTGTAGAGAACATTGTTGATCTCTGTTCGTTCACTGGCCGTGCTCTGCCCCACTACAGCAGGCCTCGGGTAGAATAAGCCTTCTCTTCTCCACTCTGGTGACATTACTGTTGACTCTTATTTGTCCAGTTTTAGCTCCAGCTCATGAGTTACTCACTTGTTCATGCTTTTTCCTGGATATTGAGCAAACCCTTCCTCCCCGCCCCCATTGTGCGTATGTGTATGTCAGTCTGTCCGTCTGTCTCTGTCTTTGTGTATGTGTGTCTACATGTACACATCTGCAAATACTGACTTAGAAATCTTCACACAAGCAAGATGTACAAAGCTTCCAGTTTTGCCCTGTGTGGTGGGAGCTGATGGCATGATTTCCCCTTGTTTGCACTGCTAGTATCTGCTTAAAAGCTCTGGTTCATACAGCCGTGACGTTAGCATCTCCGGTTCAGTGTAGACAGTTGCAAAGCTTTATCTTGTGTACCTCAGCCTCCTGTTTAGTCTTAGGAGGAATTCCCTTTTCTTCAGGAACATACTTAAGGGGCACTTTAATTCTTCACATAAAAGATAAATTTGGTAAAGGACTTTTATTTTTTTAAGATCCCCCTTTCAAAAGATTTAGACACTTTTGAAATACCATAATGTAACCCTTTTCTCTGTTTTTCTGTACAATAAGATGCACTAGACTAGAGTATTCTTGTTAAGACTTTAAGTTATGGACTCAGGCCATCTGGTTCTAAGTCCTACTTCTGCTATTTTATCTATACTTCAGTTTCCTTATTTCACCAATAGAAGTACTAGGACTTACATCATACGGTAATGTGGGGACATGATCACGTGTGTGCAAGTTCTCATTTGTACACCTGGGTGTGGAAGCCAGAGGTCAACCTCTGGTATTGTTCCTCAGTAGTCGTCCATGTTATTTTGAGACAGTTTCTCACTGACACCTGAGACTCTCCAGTTAGGTTAGGCAGGCTGGCTAGCAAGACTCTCCTCTTTTCGCCTCCCAAGTGCCAGGATCACGAGTGTGTGTGCCGCCACACCTGCTGGGATTACAAATGTATGCACCACCACACCTGCCTGTTTATGATGCTGGCAGTGCTGGTGAGCAAATTTAGGTCCTCGTGTTTATGCAGCAGAAATTTTACCAACTGAACTGTCTCCTGAGCTTCTTGGTTTAAATCATATCATTCGTGGAAGGGCTAGACATAATGCCTGCCACGGGAAAGCTTTCTCTGGGTACTAGCTGTTATAATCCTGCATTAGATTGTTTTACCCATAATGTGGATGTAATCCTAAAATGTTATGTTCTGTTTCTAGGGATCTTTGCCTCTTTCCTTGTACAAATCTGGGGGAAGGGGCCGTCGTCAACAGAGGTACCCTAAGCCCAGTGCCTGCTGAAGCGGCTCCCTTAGACCTCCTGTTCTAGAATCGAGAATCAGCACAATTATAATGTGAAGTCAAGCAAAGCGGGCTTTTGCATAGAGAGGAAGGCAGAATGTGCCGTCATTTTGACATCTGTGCCTGTGCCCTGGGCCAAAAGCAGAATGGTTATACACTGCTGATTCGGCACCCCATCTGCTGCCTTCTCCATGGCTCAGTCCTCTGCCCGTCCCCTCCTTGTAGAGCCCCGGGGTGATGAAGCCTGGGAGAGTGCTGGGGTGTGAGGACTCAGGCACAGGGAGACAGGAGGGCCTCACCCATGTGACCCTGTGGGGTCAGCACTAACTCTTCTCAGCTGCTAACGGTTTGCAAGTGTTCTGTGTATGGGGTGATGATTAAAAACAGTAGCCTGAAAAAAATGAATGAAAACAAGCCACCAGACTGTTCTGAGAAATCTGCCTTTCCCTTGGAAGCTTTTACATCTGACTCAAGAGTGTTTGAAACTCGTGTTTTAGAACTCTTAGCTCAGGCCCCCTGAGTGAGTCCCTTCTTTCCGCCACAGAGGTTCTGAACTTTCCATGTAGGGCTTCTTTTTCCTTTCTGTTCACATTGACTCACCCACTTGCAACCCGTTTGCAGGCCCCCTTTCCAGGCCACTGGCTTCTTTTCTCTACTTGATCTGAGAGGTCCAGCTCAGGCTTCCCACAGCATGGCAAACATCACACACACAATCAGTCTGGAATGTTGTGACTTAACTCTTCTACTGATCTGAACTGAAGGAGTTGAGCAACAGTGGTGAATGCCCAGAGAGGCATGTATTGAGTAAACAAGAGTAACCCACTTCGAGGAGGAGCTTGGGAGAAACTGTTTATCCCAGGGAAAGCGTTTGCCTTCTCCCCCAGCCCCCAGCTGGGGTCAGCCTCACACATAGTAGACAGCCCTCTGTCACTGACCTACGTACAACTACGTCCAACAAAACCAATTCTGCCTTCAGTTGTGGTGGGCCTTGGTTTTACTTCGTGTAATTTGTTGCATGTATAGTTCTACTCGGTGCTTTTAAAAACACTTTCGTGTTTGCTTTCTAGACTGACTTCGCACGATTTAGCGGAACAAATGTGGAAACCGACTTTGTAGAGGTCCCATCACAAATGCTTGAAAACTGGGTGTGGGACATTGAATCCCTGCGGAAACTGTCAAGACATTACAAAGATGGAAGCCCTATCACAGATGAGCTGCTTGAGAAGCTCGTCGCTTCTAGACTGGTCAACACAGGTATGAGTCAACATGCTACAGAAGGAAAACAAGCAGGAGTGGTTTAGTGCAAAACCCCTGGCTGCCCCTTGGCCAAACATGTTTTTACTTTAATAATGTACCCCAGGAGTGCTGGTGCACGGAGGGAAGAACACTTGAGTGTGTTGACATGGAGATGCCTGGGACTGTCTGAGGGAGAAGTGTCCTAAGTCTTAGATGGTCGGGCTGCCGGTTCACCTGGCTTTTGTGATGAGTGGTCCTGGAATCAGTTTTCAAATCTCTGACCTGTGGTATCAGAACACATAGTTCTCTCTCCAACACATTGTTCAAACACTCTTAACCTCCTTAGGTCTTCTGACCCTGCGCCAGATTGTCCTGAGCAAAGTTGATCAGTCTCTCCACACCAACGCGTCGCTGGATGCTGCGAGTGAATATGCCAAATACTGCGCAGAGATTTTAGGAGTTGCAGCCACACCAGGTATGAAGCCTTGGCACCTGAGTTCCTTTTTCCTGTGAAACCTAAGTGTTTTTCACCCTACAGGTGGGTGGAGCTCCTCAAACCCCATTTCATTCCTTTCTGCTCTTCTCGGTAATGAGCCCGTAGCTTTCAGATAAGCACACTGCCTTAGGAGTTGTCCTGTCCAAATGTGCTTGAAGGAGAGGTGGCTCCAGAGTCACAGCATTTCAGTGTAATCAGGCGTGAGCAATTGGCCTCCGCCCCAGAGCACAGCCATTCCCGTTTGGCAGCACCTGCCCGCCCCTCCCTGTATGCACCAAGACTTCCCTGTGATTGTCAGTAGGAAGCTGGCAGAAGGGGCATTTCAGGGGGAAGCAGGAACCCCCTTCACCTCTGAGTCTAATGCCAGCTCAAGCTTTTGACTGGCCGTTTCTAACTCGATGCTTACAGTGTCTGTTAGACTGTGAGTCTAAACTTACATGTGTACTTTCAAGCCAGCTAATATGTATGCATTAGGACAGGGATTGCAGAGTAAACCTTTTCACCGAGGAAATTGTTGTTAAAATGAATCAGACACAGTTATGGAGGAGAATAAGATAAGAGGGGCCACTGAATCATCCAAGCCTCACTTCCTGATCTGTTCCTTATAACCAAGGAACAGCAATGTGTCTCTGACAGAACTCTCCTAAGGCAGCCCTGTGTAGACTCACTTGGTAAATCTTTTTTCAAAACACTTCATTTTCAGAAATTACCAACTACACAAATGCCATTTTATTTAGAGTCATCTTGGATATTAAGAAGTGTGGCAGAGGGCTGGGTTTGTAGCTCGGCATTGGAGTGCTTGTCTAGCATGCGCTAGGCTGGGTTTGATTCCCAGGTCCGGTTTGCAGGGGTGGAGGCGGGTAGGGGAGAGGCTCGAGCAAAAACTAGGGTTATCTGTAGAGTATTTTCAAGGCACATTGGCGTCTGAGGTCTGATTTCCCCTTTGAGATACTGACCCGTGTGGACAAAGCTTCAGAAACTGTTGTTAGGCATTCCAGAGCTGATAGGAGAAAGGCTTGTAAACATCTTGGTCAAGGGTACACACCAGCCAGTGAGATGCTATCATTTATTCACTCTCTCCTCACAGCTGGGCTCCCCAAAGGCAAACTAGCTAGCTCATAACCTGATTAATTAGCATTTGCCATCATACTGATTGAAATGTATCTTTTTTAAGGCACAAATATGCCAGCTACTTTTGGACATTTGGCCGGAGGGTATGATGGCCAATATTATGGATATCTTTGGAGTGAAGTCTTTTCCATGGACATGTTTTACAGCTGTTTTAAAAAAGAAGGGATCATGAATCCAGAGGTATAGTATGGCGTTTTTACCCCCTTGTGTTAATGGTGTGGTTTCTCTCTCTCCTTTAGCTTCAAGTGTAAATACTTATAATAGCTAGAGTAGGAGACGCGGCAGCAGCTTTTAACTTTAAGGCCTGGCATCTTCTCAAATCATCATACATCATTAAGTTTCAGTGTACAAGTGATTAACTCTTAATTCTATAGGTTAAAGAAAAAAACCTACTGCGCTTTCTTGCTTATTAACATTCCAGTATATTGCATAATTAAAAATTCAAAGCCTTGTTTATGCACTTGAGAATTTATAGCTACCAGTTTTGACATGCGCCATGCAGTGTTTCTGTTTTATAAGAGGTTGAGAAAGAAAGGTAAACTTCTTCGTGATGTAAATAGTCTCTGTGTTCTGATATTCTTTACAGCTTTCTTTGTACATATTCTGTGGGAGGCACCCTTTTTCTGTGGCCGGTGTACTCCACCTACTGCACAGTCTGTAACCTAAGTGCCTTTGGGTAATTGAAGCTGCTTCATTAATCTGAGCTGTTCCTTCTCATGCACAGTGAGGTGACCACCCGCCAGGTGGCTGCCCGCCAAGCCCTGCTGTTACAGACCCCAGCCTCCCTGCTCATCCAAGACTCGACTGTCAATTATGTCTAAGGCTGGTCTATTTCCAGCGTGTTTCCAAGTTCTGTTTGGTTCAGAAATTAGAACAAATTACCCAAATCAAACTCTCAATGCTTATTTCAATCAGCCATCTTGTTCTTTGGGCTTTTGTTTCTAGACTCGGTAGTGCCTCTCTGCATACATATTGAAATATGTATTTTAGGCACCCGTTTCCTCCCTGTTTCTCCCTCCAGAAAATACCTCCAGGCCAACCATACTATTTATTATTAATTCCAAGCATTTCTCCTCCCATCCCACCTCACCCAGCGGCTCTCTTTAAACTTCCATCTAGGACCCTACCACCCAGCCAACAGTCTGATACTGACTCTTATTTAATATTCTAACTTCTGCATGACTTCCAGCATGTGTGGAGCTCTTTTTCCCCCACCTCCCCACGTTGAGATGGTGCCCTCCCCAGGGTCCTCTGGAGAAGATAGCATGAGTCCCTTTACTTGCCCCACTGTTGAGGGATGCTGGCTAGCCTGAACTGGTCACTTTCAGTCCTCCCCGCCCCCAGCCTCTCAGTAAATTCGCCTTTTCCTCTCTTCCCTGTTACCCCATCCCCAAGTCTAGCTGTCTAATGCAAGGAGGCATCAAACTCATGAACCTCCTGCCTCATCTTCCTTGGCTCTGGGGATTACAGGCATGTATCTCTGTACCCAATCCAAGTTTCCCCTTTGTTAGGAAAGTTGAGCCGGGAATGTGGCTCAGAAGCAAAGGGTGTTCTCTTAGCTCTGTCCACCTTTACCCATTTATTCTTTCTGTGCCTTCCACTTTAAATATATGTCTTGCTTAAGCAAGAATGGCAGCACACACCTGGAATCCCAGCACTTGGGCGGTAGAGGCAGGAGGATCAGGAGTATAAGGTCATCTTTGGCTACATAACAAGTGCAAGATTAGTCTGAGCCTCATGAGACCTTGTTTCAAAACAAAGTATGCTCTTTTTAAAAAAATCTGTGCCTTTAAAAAAATCATTCTGTTCTTTAAAAGATCCCACTTAAAAGGCCACTCATGGGCTGAAAAGGTGGTTAAGAGCATGTGTTGCTCTTATAGAGGACCCAGGTTTGGTTCCCAGCACACACTTGATGGTTCACAACCATCTGTAACTCTGGTTCCAGGGACTCCAACACCCTCTTCTGACTTCCGCAAGCACCAGGCATGCGTGTGCTACACATCCATGCAAATGGGCAAAGCACTCACACACACACATAGTCTAAAATTACTTTCCAACGGCCACTCTTGTGTGAATTCTTCTAGATTATGCAACCAGAGTGACCCCCTTCCATCTTCCTAACAAAACTGTGAGCTTGGGCGTGTGGAAAGGCTTTGATAAGCTTTGGCTTATGTCCGGATTGTTTGGAACAACTATTACATAAAATGAAAATATTCTTTATAAAGGATTTTACACAATATTCTTAAAATATGGTTAGGACAAAAGCACACCAAAATGCTGATGATGTGGGGCGGTGAGATTTTTGAAGGACTCAGGTGACATTTCTCTTCTTTTCATGGAACTGTCCCTTGTAACATGAATTGCTAAATGGTCTTATTAAAAAAAAAAAAAACTCGGAGCCAGATATTGGGGTGAAAAGCAATTTGTGTTGCAGTTTCTCACTTTACATAGTTCACAAATTGGTGGAGATCTCAGAACACAATAGGTTGTTTGGGGAAAGGTTTTTAGTGTTTTGTTTTGTTTTGGTTTGGTTTTTTTTGGTTTTTCGAGACAGGGTTTCTCTGTGTAGCTTTGTGCCTTTCCTGGAACTCACTTGGTAGCCCAGGCTGGCCTCGAACTCACAGAGATTCGACTGGCTCTGCCTCCCGAGTGCTGGGATTAAAGGCGTGCGCCACCACCGCCCGGCGGTTTTTAGTGTTTTTAAGACAGTTTTGCTCTGTAACCTCAGATGGCCTCAAACTAATAGCAGTTCTCCTGCCTCAGCTTCCTGAGTGCTGGGGTGACAAGCGTGCACCACCAAGCCCAGAAGAAAGTGTTTCAAGGAGAGGAAAGGTCCAAGTGTGACCCCCTTCTGACTGCTGTTGCTTGGGAGGCTCCCTGGTGTAAGCATGCACTCCCTGAGTTGAGCCCACATCTGTAATTCCACTCTCTGGCTACATCTCAGCCCTTCCACTCTTCCAGCTGTCAAAGCAGCAGCCACGTTGGAGATCCCAGTGGATCTCAGACTGCTTGCACATCCTGCAGAAGCAACCCTGCCATCAGGTCTCTCTGTGCTTATTCTCAAGCTCTGTAGTTGGCAGGCAGCCAGGCTGCTCTTCATTAGGCGAAGACAGGAGTGAACTTGGAGAAAAAAAAAGATCCCAACGAGGTGGAGCTGCTCCCTTGGATGTTAGACACGCCGTCCAGTGCCACTGTGTTTGTGGACGCTGTGGCAGTGTGCAGTAGTAGTCTGCTTCTTGTGAAAGGAGGCTGCTTTGAATTTAACCTTCCCACATCTTTTCCCTTTCCTTCCCAATGCTGTGAAGAATCCCATCATCTGTCACTGCCCTGCTATCACAAACCTGGCTCCAGAAGCCAAGGAAAGGCCCCCACACCCACCCACCCTCGCCCTCCTCACTGCGTGTGCACATTCTAGAACCCACTTTTTCAGCAGCCATTTGATCTCCCCCTGTAGTGAGTGCTGTTTGTTTTTGTGAGGTTGCTTTGCTTTGTTTTTGTTTTATAAATATTTACTCTAGCACCTGACTTACAGAATACAAATATTTATCAAAAATTAAAAATTCTTGGCCCGATAATCCTGTCCTGTAAAAAAGCTCCCATTGTTCCTACAACTGTGCAAAGATAAACAGAAAGAGAAGTACTGTTCTTCAGCACAGTGAGCCAGGCACTGCTTGTTTTGTGTGTGAGCTCAGTCTTCCCGTTGCCAGCTCTGCAGAAGGTGACCTTACCTGGGCTGTGTTGCCTTCAGTTCACACATAGATGCTGGTTACGTAAGCAGAGTAACAATAGGAATTTTTATAGTAGAAAGCAATGCTCCGCTTGGGCTGAAGTCATGGGAACCATCCATCACGGGCTGTCAGGTAAACTCTGTTGGCTCAAGGCCTCACACTCCCCAGCGTGTTTAGAGCATTTTGAGAAGGTAGCAGGATGTATAAGGACTCAGCCCGGAGAGGCTGGGTCGGGAGACCACATTGGTCACACTCTACAGAAGCACATCTCCAGGCTTTCTCTTGAACATCTGCTCTCCTACAAAGCCCAGGGTCTGCTCTGAGCACTATTTTATACCCTGGTGAGCAGAATAGTAGAGGGCATGCTGCTCATTGGGAGACCAGACATGGGAGGGTCAAATGTCAACCTGCAGCCTTCTGAACACCAAACAGCAGCGGTGACTGTTTCATGGTACAGTTGTCTTCTGCTCTGGGACCTCTCTCCAAGTGTTAGAGTTGGCCACCTTCTTGTCACAGACTCCAACTCTGCTACCCATGTTTTCTCTGTAGTTGTTCATATTATTCTTTCTAATAAGTAAACACCACATTTTAGCTACTTAATTAGCTTATTAAGTTGTCCCTAAACTCAGGCTTGGGAGGTGGTTCGGTTGGTAAAAATCTTTGCCTTGCAAGCATGGGGACATGAGTTGGCATTTCCAGCACCTACATAAAAGCCAGGCACAGGAACCCACACCTGTAACCCACCACTGAAGACAAAGGCAGATGGATCCATAAAACCCACTGACCAGCTAAACCAGTGAGTTCCAGGGTTAGTGAGAAACCTGTTTCAAATACTAAGAGAGATAGAGAGGGGCTGATGAAGACATCCAACACTGACCTCCAACTTACACACATGTAACACACACACACACACACACACACACACACACACACACACACACACATATCTGTAAAGTCTGTTCTAGTAGAACGTGGAGAAGCCGTCTCCCCAGATGTAACTTCTCTGGCCCTGACAGCTGTCTTAGGGACAGTGGGAGAGCTGCTTGGGTTAATGCCCCTCAGCCAGCACTGGTTCTCTTCCAGGATGTCTTCAAGTTCACTAAATGTAATTTCAAAATCCAGCCCCTAATCACAGGGTTGAAAAAATGGAAGCATTTTAACTAGGGCCATCTTTTTTAATAAGGCAACTTCATTGTGGGAAAGTTTCCTAAGAGGTAATGGACATTGGACTCAAAGGCTGTTTATATTGTTCAGCCAGAATTGTCTGTCTTTCTTTGAGAGAAATTTCTAAGCTTTGTTTGTTGCATCAGAAGGAGAAGCACAACCAGGTGTTGCTTCAGAAAGAAAGACTGAAAAAACAAGACTGTCTGATTTAACTATTGGCTTTCAGTCTGTGGAGTCACAGGAAGATCTTACATGCATGCAGTAACATACATGGAAACAGGAAGACTT